GGTTTAACAAGACTTTTTAGTATCATGTCCACGATGTAGCCTTTATTTTATTGAACCGTATCGGATCAATTTGAAATATATCGTATCGAATCGAAAGTACACTGCATCGAGGCATCGTATCTTGGCCTATGTATCGTATCGGCGACTTCTGAATGATACCCAGCCCTACCTTTTACTGTTTTGAAAATGCTCTATTCGCCAAAAACAATGTAGTAACATGTTTGTCACTTTTGTCAATCTCTTGCTCCCCGCGTTAAGTCACCCCCCCTTCAGAGCGCCATCACAACACAATCAGCGTGCACGGTACACAGCAGGATTGTCAAGTTGCTGTGCACAGTTTTGTATCATGTTTTTGTATATTTCTGGAGCGGATCTTTGCGCAGAATGTTACGGTTAACTGTAAAAAGTCGAATTTTTGTTCAGCGTCGACCATAGAACGTATATATGAGTGGACATAGCTAAGGTGCCAAGCAGGAAGTGCTCCAGGAGGCTCTTCTGGCTCCGATGGACTTACATGAGGATCTTGTGGCTCCTCTCTCTGTAACTCCTGCAGCGAGCCTCGTCATTTTGGTCTTAAAATGTTCGTATTGATCCACTCTACATGATCCTGATTTTTTATTTTTTGCTACTTTGTCCGTCAAAAAAATCCTATTCATAATCCTGGCTCCAGATTCGCTCCTGAAACCATGAGCATCGCGACGTCACACTCGCTTAGTCCACTTCTTTTATACAGTCTATGGCGTCAACTTTTTGATTTATGAATCTGCGTGGAGGCCTCTGCACTGCAAAGTAATCCACCGATACAATGCTAGGAGGCTAGGGTTAAAAATGATGTCCGTGTTTACAAAATAAAGCTTGAAAGCAGAATACCGGAAATGTAAGCAGCTGTAGAAAGAACTAATCACATCCCTTACTGTCTGCGTCGCTTCCCCTTACTTTCTGCTTTGTTTCGACGCAAAGTTAGAAAACTTCTGAGGTGCACGTCGGTCGATTGGAATCTCTCTGCGCCGAGATGCAGACGATTTGACGCACGACCCTAAATTGGGCTCAAGCAAGGTTCAACTGGGGCCTGGGAGAGATCGCTAAACTCCTGAAACATGCCTCTTCAGACACATTTATAATGAGGGAACACGAATAGAAAACAAAAATTTAAAAACAATTTTGCGTAACGCCCCGTCTTTAAAGAGTTCATGTTAATACGTCGCATTTTCGGAACAATAAAAGGTCACATGATGATCTAAACGTGTTATGTGTTCGCAGTTAATACCTCATAAAAGTAAAGTACGAATAAATAAAAAAAGCAATCATAGTGAGAAAGGTTACGCAGTGCACCTTTAAATGCTGTGCCTGGGCAGAACTTCCCCCGGTCTACACTCGCTCATCTGAGGAGCAGTCGGGCAGGTCTCATCCTACATACCTCTATGGTTTGTTTGTTTAAGCTCCTATAGCGAGGCACAACGGAGTGATCTGGAGCCGCAAATTTACGCACAGCAAACAAAACACCAGATAACAGCTCGGATCCCGTTACGTAAGACCCGTCGCTCTAGTATTGTATAATATGTGTCCCACTATGTAACTTTTGGTGAAGGTCTCCATGGAGATGTCATTCCTCTGCCTGGAATGTCAGGAGTCTCGTATTTGTTCATCTATTGCTCCGAAATACCTTGAAAAACACGCATTGTTACAGAAAATAGAGTCGCCTTTCCATAAATCTGACCTGTACCTGAGCTTGGTGGCGTGATCTACTATCCTCCATAGAAATTAAAAAACAAAAACAAAAGAAAGTTTAATCCTATATTGTGTAGTATTTCGGCGAATGCAATAATATTTCTGGAGACTGCTATAGAGTAAGTTGCATTTTAAAGCTATGTATTACACCAAAATGACTCTTGTGAGCTTTAAGATGTGTATAATGTTGTTACCTCCTCAAAAACAAACCTGGAGTTGTGTTTTGTTTCATTCACACACGTTTGAGTAACACTTTATTACTCTTGTGAAGTTTTCAGACTGCTTTTTACCTTTAGAGCCTGTTTACACGAGAATGCTTGCGGGTAAAAATGACAAAATCAAAGACATTTATGGGAAGTGCCTTTTGTTTAGACCGTGACGACGTTTTTGAGGCTTAAAAACACAAAAATCTGTAACCACCCTCCAGAGCGGAAAACCTTAATTCGCTCCGCCGTAGCGTTTCCGTCCACACTGCCCAAGACGCAAAACTCTGGTCAGATTTGCTCACGTCGTGTACACGTTTACGTACAAAGAAACAAACAGGTCAGACGGCATGCATATTCAGTTGAATTCCACATGCTTTTGCGTCACCGTATGCACGCAGATTTCCCCCCAGAAAACGCTCGTCTAAACCCGGAATTAAAAGTGAAGACGCGACGCCACTTTTGTGTCTTTTGTTTAGACCTTCGTCGCATAAACGCAGCTTCAGTTCGGTATAGATCGGCAATTCCAGGGCTGAAATCATCCAAATAATTCTAATAAACACCTTTGGAGTTTAAGCACTTCCTGTATCACCACATGACGTCACAAGATGGAACAGTGTTTTCTGTTTGAGCCTAAATATGCAACTTTAGTGCGTCAAACGTGTGTGAATTAAACAAAACACAACTCTAGATATGTTTTTGACGAAGAAACAACATTGTAACATAAAAAAGTAGCCTAATATGGGCACTTTAATACACTTTAATAGTTTTATTTTCAGTCAGGATTCTAAAATACGTGCGTAAATTGGTTTAGATCGTAGCGTGTTGAAGTTGTCTATCTCCAAACTTTCCACCAAACAATCGTTACTATTATTATTATTAATATTACAACATCGGTGGCGAAAATACATGACCAGTTTGTCCAGGAAACCGCGCGTAAAAACGAAGAGCACGGGTCGCGTAAGACGTAAATACATATAAATAAACAAAAGACGTGTGCGTAACGCCGTAATGCCTATACCTGAGTGCGCGCAGTGACTCGAGACGCCTCTTAAATCCTCGTCCTAATGGCGCGTCGTCGCTGTTGTGTGGTCCGCGCGCTGTTTGTTGATTCCCATGTTATTTCAGGCCCCAGTGAGCAGAGCAGCCGGCTGTGTTTTGGCAGCGCCGTACGTGTATTCAGCAGTTAATCTGACGGAGCATCTCGCTGTTTTGTGTATTGGAGACTCGCCTTTTGTGTCGTCTGCGCGGATTGGACACACACTCTTGCGCGCGGCGGGTTTGTGCGCGGCTTGGGGACACTACACCGACTTGCGTTCGTTTTCTTACAAGTTATCCAACCTTTAAAACGCGTCCCACTCATTTTCATGCTTTTGGTTTGTTGGGGTAGCACCTGTGGTCAGTATTTCTACATAAATCGAGTGACAGTTTGAGAAAAATTGAGAAGAAACGTAGAGAAACGCAGGAAATGCTGGTGAGTTTTAAAACGAAATAATTCTTCTTAACACTAAAAGTTCCAATTTACGCACAAGGAAGTTAACCCTTTTAACAGAGTAAAGGCATTAACATTTATTTTTATTAGTTTAATCATAACTTTTGGGTCATTTTGGACACCTTTAGACTTTACGGTTGCTAGGTAACAGTTATAAAATTACCTGTAGCCCACGTGTAGGTCATATTTGCAGCCAGGAAGTAAAATTATAAACTTCACCAACGTGTATATATCTATTTATTTACGTTTTTCTTAAATATTATGATGTTAATTATATTTTAAAAACACGAGTAGTCTGACCTGTCATGCGCACTTCAAGTCATGTTGTCGATATAATTATTAATTAAAGGATTTACGTCAAAGGAACGTGAGTTTTGGTTCACATGATGCGAGTGTGTATACAGATTTAAGTCTCTCACGCGCACACACACACACAGAGAAAGAGACACACACACACACCCACACCCACAGCGCGTATAGACAGGCTGTCACCCCGTTACAAAGATTCAATAACGCTGCGTGTTTGGGAACAATATATTTACTTCCATTAAATAAAGCACAATTGTTTTTGGGGTTGTTGTAAAATAAAGGGGGAAAAAAACTGTACCAAATAGTTTACACAGGAAAAAAAATAATGTCGCAGGACCTTTTTTGTTTCTTTTTAAAATCCAGAATGGCTAGTCTAAACTCACACAGACATTAATAATAATAAATTTATAATATGCTAGAAACACACGGGTGGTGCGTTTGAGTATGTACATTCCCTTTGTTTGCAAGCAAAATTCCGTTATTATTTTCAGCATTTTTTTTTAAATCCACATGCGTTTTTATAAATTTGGAGAAGAAGGAGAGGAGACAGACCGGAGGCATTCAAACAGGAGATGAACTCAAATATATATATATATGTATATATATACAACCTTTTGAGGGTCAGTATAAGTCCACAGTCCAGCGAAGGCGCCATGTTGTGACCGTAACCAAAGGAGAACGCCTGCCGCTCGCCTCCAACCAGTTTACATTGTCCAAACAGGCAAAATCACGCTCTCCAGAAATGTTTAGTTCCGAAAACACAAAAAAAAGTAGTGGTAGTAGTCTTTTTGTTCCTGTGGCGGATGCCTGGTTGCGCGTACACTGCAAAAAATGACCAGCCAGACGCCGTGTCGTATTGACGTATCCACAAACCGCTCCGGATTTTCGAAGAAGGGCAGAGCGTGGACCTTAGTGTTAGGTTGTGCCATAACTTGGGGTGCTTAAAAAAGTGCTAGTTTAAATTATCGGGCAAAGAACTCGTTTTAATCTTAACCTTGTAGCTAATTGTGTATTTGGACGTCAAGGATTCAAGATAGTAGTTGGATTGCAGTTTTGCTTGGATAAATGTTAATTAAATGCTCTTTTAAAGGAACAGACTTAGCAAAACAGTTATATTTCAGAGCCATAATATGTTTAAGTACGTATTATCATAACTTACTTGGCTTGGGACTTTAAGAGGAAAAAAAAAAACACCTCAGTGCAAGTGATAAGTTATGATTGCATTACTATCCACACTTTTACCCACTCCAAACTTGGCACTGGTGTAGTACTGCTACTTTACTATGGTACTGGGGTTCTCTATAAATTTCAAACATATTACGAAGACTTACTAATATAATTTCAAGACTATAGGGCTCAGAAAAGTGCTTACATGACATTTTTAGGAAGCAGTGTAACAGTAAAAAAAAAAGTAATTTACGCTGTGTTAGAAGTTACCCAATTACGCACATTTGGCACGGGATAAAATCGTGTTCTAAAGATTGGCTAGTGCTTTGTTGTTTTTGTTATAACTCTAAAATGATTCGATTGCAATTTGACAACTCACTTTTGGTTCAAATGTCATGCCCTTTTAATTCGCAGCTCTCCAAAATTCCAAATCCGGAAGCATTTTCCAAAACACCACCCGCAGACTCGCCCCTCTCCGTGCGCCTTTACGCAGCACAGTCTGGCGGCCATTTTTTAATCTTTTATTTTATTTTTTTATTTTTGCAGTGTTTAACTCGCTATTAGACCGGTCTGTCCACGGCGTACTGGCACGCGCTCAGATTGGTGGCGGGGTTCTGCACGCTGGCGTATCCGAAGCTCGAGTGCTGCTTGGCTTTGAGTCTGAGGCTGGCCAGACTGGAGTTACAAGTGTCCCTGTACACGTAGGGCGGCGTGGGGGGCGCGTAAGGACAGGCGGGCGTGGGCACTCCCGTGTTGAGCGACGGGTTACTGAGGTTATTCAAGTTGTTGAGACTGTTGAGACTCGAACCCGGGACCCCCGTGACCGCCGACGGCACCATGCTGGGGGTCATGGAGGAGATGGAGTTGGGCGGGGAGAACATGGTCTGGGAGGAGAGCGGGTTGACGTTCATGGAGTTGAAGAAGGGGAAACTCTTGGTGGACAGCGAGGCGGACGTGAGACCCTTGGCGGCCCAGTTGTTGTACGTGTAGCTCGGGTACATGTCGTCGTACGGCTGCATGAGTCCGTTGAACTGCGGGCCGAAGCCGTTCTTGCACAGCTCGGCCTGCTGGTTCCGCTCGCGTTTCCTCCACTTGGCTCGCCTGTTCTTGAACCACACCTAGGAGAAAGCACGCGTTTTGTTAAGAACTGGATCACGGAGGGCTTAAAATGTTGACGCAGACCTCCACCGTTGCTACGTGATTAAGACAAGACACGCTTTGTTTAAGAGTTAGTAAGCGCGTCTCAATTACCCTAAATAAAACAAAGCAATAAAACAAATCTATTCATTTAACTAATTTGACGTGCTGCAGTAGCGTATAATTTATGATAATTCCAAATAACAGTGTGTATGTGCGTAAAATCTTTGTAGGACAGAAACGTAACTAAAGAAAAATTATGAAAACAAAAAGAAACTCGATTAAAACGATGAGCGGAATTGGTTTAATTAGCCAACATTTGATCATTTGGAAATTATTGCCTTGTCTTATATCCTGTTTTATTTTTAGACAAGATTAACAAAGCCATCATATTTGTAAAAAAGTAGCGTAACTCCGCTCAACTGCGTAAAAATGCTCCAACGAAAAAGTCTGAAAATCGACCAAAATCCCCGAACGCGCTGACAAAACACGCACTCACCGCTTGCTTCATGAGTCAACCGTGATTAGCCTTATTATCTTCCCCGGAATACACACTCCTGTCCCGGCGCGCGCTCCTCTCAGAACGCGGGCCGAGGCTGGATGTGTATTGGGCTGACCTCGGGATCACACATCACAACACACAACACAACGCCAGGGCGACAATCGCAAAATACAAGCTTTGCACCTCTTTCACACGAGCGGGAGAACGCGGCTGGTATCTGACACTGCACATGTCAATAGCCTGTAATGTTAACGAGCTCATTAATGCGCAATTACGTCGTCAGTGCGCGCAAATAACGTGCAGCGTAAGAATACAGTTTGTCACATTTATTTACACTGCGTTTCTACACCTAACTGCATCTAATGAACTGCACTGTTATTTTATTTATACTGTTTATTTTGTGTTCAAACTCAGCTGAAGTCGATTTAATTCTAACACCGACTTTTATTTTATTATAATTTCTGTTTGCTGTTATTATTCTTTGTGTCATGTTGCACCAAATCACCAAAGCAAGTTCATAGTTTGGGAATTGTGGTCACTGACAATGGCAAAATAACTTTTTTTCTGATTATGTTGAACCTGTGTTACACGTAATTGAATGTGGGATCTAGCGCACGCAGCCTGCAGTGTATTTACGCAGGAGCACGATTATTTTTGCACAGATAAATTAGCTTTCACAACTTCGGTTCTTAAAGAACGTAAATTAGGCCATTGCCTGTTAAAAGAAGACAATTTGGATTAGATAAATTCTACCTCACATTATGTCCGCGTGAATGTGTATCCTTTGACGTCAGCGCGTAAAATCCAAACATTGGAACTAATAGAGTTTATTGTGGGCTCCCAGGGGCCTCTGTCCTTACCCTGACTCGGGCCTCTGTCAGGTTGGTCCACACGGCGATCTCTTCCCGGGTGCTCATGTCCGGGTAGCGGTTCCTCTGGAAAGTGGCCTCCAGCTCCTGCAGCTGCTGGCTGGTGAAGTGCGTCCTCTGCCGCCGCTGGCGTTTCTTCTTGGACGGGTCATCCGAGGAGTCGTCGGCTTTGTTCAGGACTTTCTCCTTCTCTGTTGGAGCACACGTGTGTTAGGCTGCGTTTGGTCAAAGGATTGTAGAGAAACGGTTGTAAGTTATTCAAAAGAAAACCTCAGGAATGTGTGGAATTTGTGTCTTACGTTTGTATTTTAAAATGTAGTTATTTTTGTATTGTGTAAATACAAAGAGTTTCTCTGTTATATCTCTAATAAAACATATCATCTGAAAAAAGAAAAAATCAATCAATTGAAGAATTGTATTACTGGAAATTATTGATAATTAATAGCCTTTGTTTCACGATCTGGCGCGTTATTAAAATTTGACGCATAAGAGAAATTGTTCCAAAAAATAAATGCACAAAATAGTCATACATTACGCATTACGCGCTCTGTGAATGTTACTGAAAAATATTTAAATTATTCCTCAGTTTTATTAGCTGTCGAGAAACTCCAGGGGAATTTGAATAGCCGCACATTTGCATAAACCTCTTGTTATTCCAATGCCCACAATGGCACTTTTATTGAGCGCACTTAAACGCAAAATCTGTTTATATCCAAGAATAACTGGAGCACTGGTGGTGGATCGCACAAAGGATTTTTGTGTGTGTTGCCAGATGCTGTCCAGATGGGAGCGCGCACACGCGGCTCTTACCCACGGACTCCGGGCTGGACGTGTCCGACACCGTGTGCACCTCGAGCCGGTGTTTGACATCCACCGAGCGCTGCAGCGGCTGCAGGCTCGAGGCCATGGCCAGAGCCGCGTGGTGCGAAGAGGAGCCCAGTTTAGTCCCGGATACGTGCTGCGGCTCGAGGCTCACCGGGTCCCTCATAGAGTTCATGAGGAAAAGAGCGCACGCGAGAGGCGGCTGTCAAAGCACAAACGGCGTGCGTAAGTTCCCTAAGAAGCGGAAAGAAAAGGAAGTCCGTGAGAGGAATGTGAGGCGATGCCGGTCCTTTGTGCGTAAAAAGGAGAGGTGCTCAGCGCGGGCCATTGAGCGCTGCCATGCGGCTGCACGGAGTGACAAGCGCAGGTAGGTGATATTAGATCCAGAGGCGTCCACACACTGCTGCCTCCCGTGCCCCACCGCGCCTCTCCACCGCAGCTCCACGTCACAGCTCTGCGCCCGCCCCCTCCTCTCTCACAGCCTCGTGCGCCTCTCCTCTCTCACAGCCTCGTGTGTCCAGCCAACCGCAGCGCGCTAAACGTGTCCACCAATGCCAGTCTCCAAATAAAAGCATGTAAAGAGAGATGGCACCGCGGCAGCAGCGGCAGCAGCAGCCCAAGACCAAATAAAATGAGAATAACACAGTTTGGCCTCGCTTTATGAGCTGCGTCCAGTGGCCCAGTGAAGCGCGAGCTTCTATTGATAGGGACGCAGTCGCTGTCACCGCAGTTTACTCAGGGGCACCGCGCGGATAAAAGCTTTTATTGAAGAAGTCTGAATATCAAACACTGCGGCACAAAGCGTGTATGAAAATAAATAAGGCGGAAAAAAGGACTGTTATCCAAACGCGTTGGGCGAGCGAACGCGCACTTGTCAAATACAGGCCAGACACGACCAAAAAACATAACAAAACAAAAAAAACAAAAACAAAACACAGATATATGAATTTGTGCAAAACATGTACCAGCCATTTCTATTTAAATGTCTGATTATCAGTTAAGGTGTTGTGCCACAATTGTCACAATATGTTTTTTAAATTCCTCAAATTATTTCACTGTAGCATTTGTGTATATCATTATTTGGGCCATTTGCAATCGTTCTTCACCTGCTCTCATTATAACCAGTGTCCAGAGGAAAGCCTCGGTCCAGTGCCCCTATCCTAGTGACCTCCGCGGACACGCTTCAAGTGTCCGTTCAAAAGAGCCCCACCGGAGTCACCAGAGCGCGGACACTTGGGTTTGTTGACGAGGGATTAGTTTATCAGGGCGCTTAGCTGCTGGGCGTCCTCCGCGCGCAACCCTCCTCGCCAACCACTCATCTGGCGTTATTTTTAATCTGATAAGTCTCTCATTTGCCTAAGAATTTTTCTGAAGGAGGACTTTTAATCATTTGAGCCAATTTGTCGGGTCTTTTCTGTTTAATTCCCCGTTGATATCCAAAGTGTAAGCGCTAACTGGTTGGGATTTCCGAGGTTGAACTGGGACAAGAGGACGCGCTGAAGTAACTGGATTAATAAAGTGTACACTAAACAGCTAAATTAGATGCAAATAATCTGGACTAAAAACCTGGTCTGGATCACATCAATCTGTTCATAAACATGTAGGACCAAACCAGGTTTAAAACTGGACTAAACCGGGGCTGGACCAGGACTAGAGTGGAATAAATGTCTTAAAAAATATGTCGTGCTACTCGGAAAGTCCTGTTTGCTTAGTACTTGATGTGGAAATATATGTCACATTGAATGTCTTGAATACTTTCAAGACTGCACGGTTTACAGTAATACAAATAAATACAAGAATAAAAGATGACTCTGACTGTGTGTGGTCTATTAAAGTCGTTTTTTGGACACTGGAAAACGTGTTGCTGGAATATATTGTCAATGTATCTCAACACGTAACATTTAACCACACACTTAGCGCATAACACAAAAGCTAAAACAATAATAATCATCATATTTGGTCGCAATATCACGTGAAAGGTAGGCGCTTTGATTCTGTGCTGCTCAAAAGTGACTGCGCTTATCCTCCCTCCTTCAAAGTTCCTCATTTATAAATACGGCCCCACCACCAGGGTATTAGGAGCACACAGAATGCACAAGGAGTCAAGACACTACAGAGGCCAATTCGGAGTCTTCCAAAGCGCAAAAATGGAACTGGAACTGGTGCGTAATCCGTGCGTAATACTTTGAAATTACGCACGAATATGAACGAAAACTGCATGCATTTGGCGAGTATACTGGACAAATTTGACAACTGTGTGACTTTAAAATAATAAATCAAGATTCAAAACATAATAATAATAATAATAATAATAATAATAATAATAATAATAATAATAATAATAATAATAATAAGTGATTTGAACAGTTGGACCGCAATCTACAGTTCAAATTTATGCCATAATAAAGCTAAATGATTTCAGATTAAATTAGATCTCCCTGAGAAAAAAAAAAAAAAAAAAAAATCCTGTATTGATTAATTATGCTTTCAATTTTATGGCGACATTTTGAGGACTTTTGCTGAGTAGTATTTTTGTTTTAACTCTATGTCGCTACGGTAACATTGTCAAATTCTCTTTGAAACCCAAAATAAAAATTAAAAAATGTTGAAGTTAATTATCTATTTTAGTGGATAAGATCTATTCAAAAGCTATATTTATCTAACCACATCACCATGGACAGATTAACTCGCCTTAATTAAAATACAATGCGTAATTACCTATAGAATTTTTGTACTTTACATCAAAACTGTGGAGTGTTTGATGCTCCAAACGTAATTTCGTTGTTTTCTATTGAAATTACAATAAATTCTTGAATTCTATGCTTAACCAGAATTATCTCGATGCCAATTATCCCATCTCCAATTACTTGTAAGCTAAATACAGCCTAGTAAAGACAAGCTTTATTAAAACACCTTTCACTTTCTTTAAAATCATGATGGATATTTTAACACCCATCTTGTTTTAACTCCCCCTCCTCGAGCAGCGGGACTACTCTGGCCCCAAACCCGCACCTCTAACCCGGCTGCACTTCGCCCTGTAACCCCGCGCTGCTCCTTTCTCCGTATTAAACCAAACCTGAAGTGGATTATCGCTTTCCTCTTCATTTCGGAATGCCTTATCTCTCTTGTGCGGATTACTGCGCGCAATAGGCCTCCTCCGCCATAGAGGGCCATTAATTAGCAATTCAGTCAATACAGCAGCGGCGACACAAAGCTTTTTTACATAGGATTAAAGCCAGCGCGCATTCCGCTATTAGGATATTCCTGTGCACGGAGAGGCATCCATTACAGGTTTAAAGTAGTTCCCTCGAGGCACAAGGCAACGATGCGGCGAAGATTACAAAAAAAAAGTGCGTGTAGCGTTTTTTGGTTTATTTTGAATCGATATGAACACCAATGGAGCGAGAAAAGGGCCATGTATTCAGTTAGTGGCGATGTAATGAACGCAAATGACCTCGATTGGATATTGGTTAATAGCGTATTACGATAACACAGAGTCGTTTCCGTAAAGCGCTAAAAATGATCAATAAAATCAGTTTTTTATTTAGAAAATTACGTACGTCCCAGCATTATTGTAATTTATTTTTGATGGAATTGTATGTTATTTGTTGAAGTGTATTAATGTCATTTCTTCAAAAAAGTATTCAAACACCTGTGCGTAAAATGTTTACGCGGACAAAACAAACAAACAAACAACATGAGATTATTTGTAAATACCGTGTGATTTACCCAGTTAAGGTGTAGCCTAAATGAAGTGGCTTGGATTGACAAAAAAAGAAAAAAAGAAAATGAAGCTCAGTGCGTAAAGATGCGATGACTTTACGCACCAGCAGGGGTCGCTCTAACACCGAGGACCTGGGGCTAAACTCAGGCCTGTTCGAGTGAAACAACCAAACGCAGGGTTTTTTAAATAGATTCGGTTTACGGACAGCGGTTTCGTGAACGTTTTAGACAATAACCACACGAAATTTCGAATCGATTTTAATTTGATAGCTGTGTAGACAAGAAAGGACAATTAACGAAAAATGTACAAAAGACGAAAGATGAACAATGTGACCTATAGTGATTATTTAATGTGTGATTAATTAAAAAGTTGAATTAATTAACTATATTTTTCTTACACGTTTTCACACATAAGTATCGTCATTTTGAAAATAAAATAATGTTTACTAATGGAAGTCCAGGGCATTTCTCTAATTAACAAAAGTGTTTAATGTTTTCTGCATAATATAATTGAGTAAGTAAAGAATTGACAACTGAACACGGTAAACATGATCTACACAATTCAAAAAAAAAAAAAAAAAAAAAAAAAGTGTAATCCCAAAATTGATTAAGCAAGACAGAACGGCCCCAAAGCAAAGTATCGATTAAATAAGACACAACAAATTCCGTGCCCTACAATTAAAATAAAAAATACGTTTAAACGAGAGAGATAATAATGTCGTTTTGCTGATGTGTGTGCGTCATACTCACCGATCTGTGCGCACGTTGACGCCAGTTTGCGGCAGTGGGACTCCATCAGTGCGTTTTTTTGGAAATCTGAGAAATGACAAGACATGTTTTAATTAATATTGATCAACAGCAATTATATATTTGCTTGTATACAATCATGGAATGAATAACGGTGATAAAAATGGTAAAAGATTTGTGCGTAATTGTAATCCAGTAGGGTATTTGTGCGTAAAAATGTTGCGTAATTGTTTACTTTTGGGGCAATAACGTGATATTATTCGTGTTTAGTCTCGAATTCAGTATTGTTATTAATTCATCAAAACATTGGGGCAAGATTGTAGGCTGTTCAGTCATTGTGAGGAAAAGGGAAGGCCTAAAAAAATCTGCAATAACAACCTAAAAGTAATTAGTAACCAATCATGCGTAAAAGTTGCTCTAATGGAGATATTTTATTTGCCAACATATTTTCTATTTATTTATCTGTTTTATTTTATTTTTTGTAGTTTTAAAAAAATTATAAATCGTCACTATGCCCCTCTAGCACATTTAAGTATCCCTAATTTAAGTATTTATTTTAATATTGATGAAAAAAATACGTGTCCTACCATGTTTATTCAACCACACGACAAAACCAGATTACAATTTACCTGTCCTTCCATTCAAACTCTACAGTAATATATAGCCTAGATGCTGATGGAACAATATGGTAACCAATCGTGCGTA